CCTTTTAAGTTTGAGCGAATGTGCATGGTTAGAAAGAGTAATAAGTAATATGCAATATAAATCCTCGAGCCTTCGGGCTATATATTCATATAATCCTTCTCATCCATCACACTCTTCGGGCGCTAGAATGAGAGGGGGATTATACCCTGTAAAATATGGTATTTACCTCAGTCGCAACTGTCACTGTTTTATAAATATAAAAATGTAGATTTTAGAACCCTTCCAGTTATGTTTACGTATTATTAGGGGTGGGCGATATAACCGGTATACCGGTGTATTGCGATTCAAACTTGCCCATATATCATATGGTGATACACGTCCAAGAACCGGTTCAGTCAATACGATCGGCAACTTCCGTAATAATCATCGGAATATTCCGTGAGATTGTCAATTTTATTGAAAACTTGAGAATTTCCTTAATAATATTACACACTAATAGTTGCGAGAATGTCATTTGGTCATTTAAGAAATAAAACTATGCTTTATTTATGGCTAAACCATGTAAATTTAAAAAAGATAGTCTTGTTCATCTTTCGTTGTCCCGTAAACAAACCAAAATGGCGGGCGTCGAAGCAGACGCCGATTTTACAAATGTGTGCGGCTATTGCCTCAATAGTGAAAGTGGTTACATTGTCACTAACTGACACTAAGTAGATTTTTACTCAACTTTTTTGACAGACAATCATTAGAATAATGTCTCACTTGCTTTTTAAGTTGTTCACCAGTTAAGGAGTTTTTACCAGTAAAGAAGTTTTTACCAGTAAAGAAGTTTTAACCAGTTAAGAAGTTTTACATTGTTAACAATGTTATTCAAGTTTGAAGTGTTGAGATTTCCAGGTGCCTTATTCTAGTCACTCCTCAGTCCTCAGTTAAGACTTTGTTGTGACTTGTGAAGTTGTGAGTGACAAGACAATCATTTCAAAACTATTTTGAATTGATCATTGAATGACATTTAATCATTGATAGATATTATTCTGCAATGTACTCATTCTCTATCAGTCTGTCCGACTGTCACTCCCAGTGTCACATTGGACATTTTTTCAAAGATTACTTATTGTTGAAAGAAAAAAATAAACACATGGGTTTTGTGGATATCTTGTTCTTGTAGTTGACTAGTTGTACAATAGAGGAATTGCATGTTCAAAGACCTTCACATGAGTTTCAGTGTTGCTATGAGATACATTTAAGGCTGTACTTTTGCAATAAATCTGGAGTTAACACTTTCAGAATATATTGCAATATGTATTGCAATACGACAAATCGTATCGCAATACGATTTTTTTGGCAATACCCACCCCTACGTATTATCATTATTAATATTTTACTTTAACTAACTTGTACAACATTCTATTGATAAGGATTAAATTCATCAGTAAAAAATAGCATTATTAAACATACATTTTAAAAGAGCTAAATCTGTCTATTTCAGGTCTTTCTTTAGGCCTGAAATGTTATCTAAATTATTAATTAGACATTAATTAACCTATCCAGATCATAATGAACTCTAGATGGCATCGCTAGTCTGCGATCTTAAGTGGATTATGAGCCGATTTACTGCATAACTTTCCTTCAGGATTTAACGATTGAATGGATAATCAAGACTATGCTGTTTATTGTACTTACTTTAGTAATGATGATAGAGGCTTAGTTCTCGGTTCATAGTGGATCAATTTGAATGAAATTTCCAGCAAATTGCCTTTATATCATCTAGTTTTTAACTATTATAGTGAGAACTGCCAACTCGTTATCGAAACTCCCATAATGTATCTTTAAGCAGGCCACGAAATTTCAAATTTTGGCGTAACCAGAAAAATGGTTGCGGGTTTATGGCATAACTAATCATTTAAAGAATTAGGGGTGAGGCGCATTTTTAAATCAACCTGCTTGCAACTGGTCAATAGCCTACGTGGTGTCAAAATATGTGATCTGTCAAAGTACCGGTAAGATGGAGAAATGAAATGCCAAGAATGAATGAATGGAGTTTGTGCTATAATACAAATAATTTAGACCCGTGTCAAAAAGTCATCCTGTACAAAAATTGATCAAATGTGAATAAATCTGTTAATGAAATTTTTTAACGTAACCGATATTTCAATTTGCGTAACCAGGAAATCGGTTGCGTGTTTTTGAGGTGGCGCGACCGCACGTAACCGATTGGTATCGTTCGCGTGAAATTTCGTGGCCTGCTTTAAGTACCAGCTGGTCTAAGATAAATCTCCTTCACCGACATTAGCAACAAAAATGTGGTATCAAGCGACGATGAAGTATTCAAAATTTGACTTCTTTAGACACATGTATAAATTATCACGATAATATCGTTTATCGTGATATTTGATCAATTATTATCATGATATTTTTTTTTTCATTATCGTCCAAGCCTAATACAGGTCACTGGTACCTGGGCTAGGCAAATCCATAAATGACTGAAGATTCTCAACTTTTCAAAAATTCCAATTTTGTCTTACATATTTTTAACAGCATGTTATGTTGCACATACTGGTATTCAGACCAGTCAGACCCAAAAAAGACTTGGGGATGAAAGTGAAAGTGATGGTAAAAACAAGGTATTGCAATCTGCACGTGGTCATGGCAGAGCAAGGTGTTGTCCGCGTGTTCGTGGTGGCATTGCTCTTGGCCGCTAATGATATTTTTGTTCATTTTATATATCTTTATCAAAATCAAGTGAAAAAAACACTAAAATGTTCCTTTACATTGTTCAGGCGTTCACAGAGACTGACATATGACTGCAGTGCTTCACGTTTGACGCGAGCGATCGCTTTCGCTCTTCTCGGCTCGCGCAAACGTCAAAATAGAAGAGCCTTTTATCGCTCTCGTCGAGGATAAAATCGCTCTCGTCATATTTTACATTTGTCAAAAAACGAACCCCAAACTGCAAATAAAGCCCATGTAACCAATCCTCGAATAATTGTCTAATGGGAATTGTGTTTCTGGCCCACAGGAAAATATCGCTAAATTTGATTCTAGGTGCTCGAAATTAGTGTAAACAGTAAATATTTTTGTTAACGTGAAAATATTCCTTATTTTTATTGTATATAATGGCAAACTCAGTAGCACACTAATAAAAGGTAATACATGTTGGTCGTTGAGGTTACCGATCCAGCCATTATATACTATAAAGCATGCAATATGCAAATAAGATTGTTTGATTCCTGCATGCATGCTGTCAGCCAATAGTAACAGTAAATTTTCCCCGCGAAATTTTGAAATTTCCTCTTGGTTGAATATGACCAACAAAAGAATAATTATGTCGAATCAGAGAATAATTATTGAACCTTAAAATAAATACGTACAAAAAAGAAAGAAAATAGATACAGTCAGAACAGTTTTCCAAATGTTCAATTGATCACGTACGCAGTTGCATCGAGGATTGGAGCTTCTCACGCGATTTTCTATAATAAGTAGCCTATAGGACTAAGTGTGGGTGGGTGTTTTTTAATGGTTTTCAAAAATAATTTACATAAATAGAAATAAATATAGAGTTTAATCAGACAAGCCTCGAAATGTCGCTTTAGTAACTGACCTGTCATTTATAATTTTCCACGTCACACATTATCCATGCACACAAACACGATTAAATGGTTTTGATTCTTATTTTGATCCATGTGAATATCGTAATTAATTTCTTCGACATCGGCAGGACTAAAAATTCGCGCGAATCGCCGCACTAGCTGTAAGTCTTGATGTGAATTCCGCTTAGTAAAACATGCGTCTCAAATCATGTTTTAAGTTTAATTTAGAGGTCTATGACCCTGCCGTTGAGAAATGTGTAGAATTCGGATTCTAAAATATCGGTATAAAATGGAATATCAAACACGTCGTTGCACCTGTACATGACACTATACTATTGTTAATCACGTGCAGAGGACAGTTTATCGAGCCCCCTGGAATTCATTTCTCACATTCTGACTTATTTACGTTAAAATTTATATACATGTATGTATAAAATACTCTTTGGACCAAATTGTTTAATTTTCTCAAATTGTCCTGTAAATTATAGTAATTATACATAAACTTTATTTGCGAACATTGTTCTGAATTTTTTCAATGTTTATATTTTCATTGGAGACAAAACGGGAAACATCGAATTGTTACGGTGCAGACTTTGTGCCAAAATTATCAGGGCGTCAAAGTTAAACTTATGATTTTTTCTGTGACTTTTGTTTATGGTTTTCATCAAGTCCAATCTGATTACAATAAAGATCTATATTCCGTTTCGTTTTTTTATACTTTCGATGGCCTACACTACATGAAGATCTGACAAGTTATAGCGATAGGTCACGTCAGGGGTCAAAAGACCGACTTTTGACCTATGACGTCAGACATTTGATTAACCAATCAGCATTGATGTTACTAGTGGATTACCCACAGTTCCGGGCAAAAAAGGTCAAACACTCGATTCGACAGACCATTCATTTGGCTGACCCCTCATTTCAAGCAGAACACGAGTTAAATAACAAGTCTTCCAGTTCCAAGTGTAGTAAAGACCAGTAAAACGAAATTTTGAAGTATAAAAACGAAATAGGATCTGTGTTTTAACCATCGAGTCAGTGTAGGAGTGAAAGATTGATACTGAAATTTCATTTTTCTTTTTAATTATTCTAATAAATATCGAAACACATATCTTTATTTTCTAAGTATTAATGGTCGATAAATGGCTTCATCTATGGTCAAAGTATAGTATGAAATACATGAATGGTCATTCTAAATAATGGATTGCTCCTCTATTTTGAGTTGAGAAGTGCTATTTTTGCAGGAGCGATTTTCAACTGTTGTAATTTTAGAAGAACTTTTTATGGCTCCTCTATTTTTTTCAAACGTGAAGCACTGTGACTGTTTAGCAATAAAAAGTTGTCCAGTAAAATTGACTGGGGTGGGGTCGGGAGGGGGCTGATCTGGATTCAATAGGGCGGTTCCTGAACGTACAGGACGAGTATAATGAGACTTACGTTCAGAGCTGAACTAATACGTAACATACTCACCATTCTAAAAAAACTAAAATTTTGTTAGTGAATTAAAATTAAAGTAACCGGTCAATCGTTCGGTAAACTGTCTTTGTTGTGTTTTATCGTCCGCTTCCACAGAAGGGTTATTTCTTAGAAAGAAAACGAACGAACGCAAAAAATGCTTTTGTTGTTTCTAAAGTTCATTTCGGGTACAACACGGATACGGAAATGAATTTCTGAAAGCACAGATTCGGTTTTATCTTGAATAAAGTATTGGATCTATCTAATCTAAACATCTTCAAAACGACACAGCTGTATTTTTTATACACACGCTAATTTTATCAGCTTCTTTTCAATTTTTCTACTTGAGAATACATGTAGAAACGCCGTGCAACATGTCAATAAACAGTGATTGTTTTCCATATAAATTGTGTTGTGCTTGATACATGTATATCCTCGGCTTTTATCAATATACAACTATCTCAAAGTTGTTCCGGAAATAGGCTGGGCCTATTCCGGAAATGAACTTGTGACAGCGAAGAAAGAATGCAGACGACTGAATCATAATTGTGGAATTGAACTCTGAACTCTACTGTCACAGCTGAAATGTTAGATTTGTCTTGCACGATCTGTTTTCGGGGCTAACAAAACTGTGAAAAGTCCCTGTTCAGAGTCACCCTATTGCAATTTCAGGAAAGTAACCACCAATCGTCTCGTTTTTATTTTCATACAGGCTAAACAGGATTCCTGTTGTTGTTCAGCTGTAGTGACAGTGTAAACGTTAAGCCCCACTACTGAAGACCATTGTTCACCAGATGAGTGGCCTTGTTTTGAAGCCTTAAATCAACTTGTATCTATAGAGCTCAGCTATAAACATCAACAATTAACAGTCATAACATCATAATGGTAAGTTCTACATCTCTGCACTAATGCTTATTTTGAATTCCAACTGTTTTCGGCTCGTTAAGACGCACGCCAACGTGTAGGCATAGAGGACCTCAATTTGTGGGGTAGCACGATTTACCCAATACATGGATCACAATAATTTATATTGATTTTTTATAAAATAGCCTCTGTGTACTGTTCTTTGTGCCAAATTGTCATTTATAATAATAAAAACACTACCGTATATATCTTAAATTAAAAATGACAGATTGGCTTGCATAAAGAATGATAAGTTATCAAAAATCGATATAAATTGTTCTTATGAGGTGAAATAATGGTAGATTTGGGGTAAATCATGCTACCAGTGTTTCGTTACATCCAAATGACTATCTAGACGCTGTTTCTTGTACGACCCTCCATCCCACATCGTTGACAAGAGGAACCTGTCAATCTTACTTGTCAGTTTTTTACAAGTAAACCGTCACATATTATTCCCTGTGAATGCCTGTACAATGTAAAGGATCATTTTAGTAAGAAAATAAATATCTTGCTTACTTCACTATAGAGCTAGAATGTGCGACACAACACAAAGAAGAGAGAAATCGAAAATTAAAACAGAGTCGCTGGGGGAATACCTGACATGTGCACAGGAAACTAACGAAATGAAATGAAATAGGGTTTAACATTCTACTGTTCTGCTCCAACCAGAGATTAATGAAGACGGACATACTCTTATGTCAAATTCGAACTGCCAAGGGATCTTTTATCTGCACACCACTATATACATAAGACCTCGATTTTACGTCCTATCCAAACAATAGACAGATGTCCTTGCCAGGCCCTCCGTCTGCTCCAGATGAACTTTCTCTGCCAACACCGGGATCGAACCCGCAACCTCCAGACTAGCAAGCCACCTTGACTCCTACTAATGTAATGATGTTATAACTTTTATATATTACAGGAAGCTAATGATGTTAAAAGGGGGTTGGATGGCTGAATGGTTAGCGTGCGCGCGCTGTATCATAAAGTCTGTCATTGAGTCGACTGGCGTGGTTTCGAATCCCCGGTTGTACGTGACAAGGAGTAGGGTCGCCTGTCCAACCTCGTGGGTTTTCTCCGGGTCCTCCGGTTTCCCCCCACTGCTAAAGACCCCTACGCGCAAGCGAATTATGTAAATAAAATTAAACCATATGTTAGTCCCGAAATGATCTAGTTTGTGTCGAGTGGACGTTAAACCCCATTTCTCTCTCTCATTCTAATAATGTTATAACTTTTATATATTACAGGAAACTAATGATGTTATAACTTTTATATATTACAGGAAACTAATGATGTTATAACTTTTATATATTACAGGAAACTAATGATGTTATAACTTTTATATATTACAGGAAACTAATGATGTTATAACTTTTATATATTACAGGAAACTAATGTTGTAGTAACTTTTATATATTACAGGAAGCTAATGATGTTAAAACTTTTATATATTACAGGAAACTAATGATGTTATAACTTTTATATATTACAGGAAACTAATGATGTTATAACTTTTATATATTACAGGAAACTAATGATGTTATAACTTTTATATATTACAGGAAACTAATGATGTTGTAACATTTCATCAATGTACAATATGCGATGAGATGTTTCAACAATTTGATGATTTAGAAAACCACTACAAAATGCATGCCAGAGAAGACAAAACTGATGATTCAGATAGATATTGTCATGTTCAGTTTATTAAAGAAGAGAAGACTAATGATGTAGATGAATATTGTCATGTTCAATTTAAAGAAGAGAAAACTGATGATGTAAATGAAAATAGTCATGTTAAAGAAGATATTGAAACTGTTTATCAGTGTAATTTATGTGATGAAGGATTTAAATCTGACATTGATTTAGAAAAACACTGCGAAAACCATGTTAAGGAAGAGGGGTCTGTTTTACAACATGGTAAAAATAAGGAGACAAGTTTTAGTCAGTGTAATGAAACAAAGAAAAAAAAGCGAGAGGGTTCCATGAAATGTCACATTTGTGGTAAATCTTTTTGTAAGAATTATTACCTGGAAAATCACCTGAGAATCCATACCGGTGAAAGACCTTATAATTGTGATGTTTGTAGTAAATCATTTGTCCAGCACAGTCACCTTTTGACCCACATGAGAACCCATTCTGGGAAAAAACCCTTCAAATGTGATATTTGTGGTAAATCGTTTGGGGGTAAGCTAAAACGACATATGAGCCTACATACGGGAGAAAAGGCCTATAAATGTGATGTTTGTGGTAAATCATTTTATAACAGTACTATTTTAGAGGGACACATACGAACCCACACAGGGGTAAAACCCTTTAAATGTGATATTTGTAGTAAATCGTTTACTCAGAATGGTAATCTACAAGCGCACATCCGAATTCATAATGGAGTCAAACCTTATACTTGTGGCGTTTGTAGTAAATCATTCTCGCGAAGTGGTGATGTACAGAGACACATGAAAACACATACTGTGGAACAACCATGATTTTTGGAAAACATTATCAGGCCAACAGCCTAATGTGACAATATATGAAATTTACACTCAGTAATTAATAAACCCATTGGTTTTCAATGATTTCTAATAATTATTTTTTGCAATAAACAATGATATAAAGTGCCCATTGCAATAAAGGAACTTGAGTGGAAACGGCAACACCCCATGCTGTAGCCATCTGTGTTAAAGATAATACATGCTGTAGCCATTTGTAGTAGTTAATATGACACATGTTGTATTATTATTCATAGTAGAAAATCCCCGGTAACAATCTTAACAAGACTGTGTTGATATAAAAAGGATTTATCCATTATTATAAGTGCTCAGATGTGCTTTACAATTCAATAAAATTATAAAATGCAGATAGACAATATGATAAAAAAACTAACTGGAATGATAAAAACAATAAATTGGTACACATTAAAAGTATCACAATAATAATAGTGTAAAAGAAATCAAAATTAAGTTAGTCATCTGTATAGTAGTTAATGTGGTACAAGATGTAAATAAATGCTTTAAGTAATTTTGGGGCTATACTATATACTGGTGTTTTTCCGGTTTTCAATATAGCATGGTGTTTTCCGGTAGTTTTCTGGTATTTTCTGGTTGTTTTCCGGTATATAGTATTGCCGGTTATTTTGTCTGGAATCTTTAATTGGTCCGAGTGTGAGTTAAAACATCTCTCAATTGAACTCAGTTGAAGCTGAATAAAGGATAACATTTCCTAAAAGTTTTTATACACCCACATTTTCACATGGAAATATTATATTGTGGTCCCTATCTGTCCATTCACATTGGTTAAGGCCATGGGTTCCATGTCAACCGTATATGCCGGTCGGGACCGAGGGCTTTGGAAAATGACCGAAACTGGATCAGACCCGTAGGTCATTTTGCACGCCGGAAAAATAGCATATTTTTGTGCAAAATTATAAAATCCCAGGATACGATAAAACTCTGTACTGTCGTGATGTTTGACTGTGAACTGTCGGGTATAATAAAATTAACAGTGTTCAGTAGTCCACAAATGGAAATCACTGCCAATTAATTATCACAATCAACAAAGATCAACATCAAACAGATTAAAAGCTTAAAGGGACTATCCCGATTAGAAAAGAGTCTCAAAAGTCCAAGTACGTATGAAATTTAAGCACCAAAATATATAGGAATGGTGTATTGACCTTGTCTCAAAATTTCTGCTCAAAATATTGAGTCGTTTGGACGTGAACGTCAAAACTGCTTATCCGGACAAGTAACCCTTTTAAGATTTCGGATCAATGTTTTCGTTGGGTGACCTGATAATCGATTCCCGTTTCTTGAGAGGTCTATACAGTGAATGACCCATGTGCTGTACTTGATAGCGGACGGTAAATTTCACCTACACATTATTTTTATAAACAAAAGGTATGGTTTTATCCAGACACCGTATAATACCGTTTGGGACACCGGTCTCCATTTCCAGATGAAGACTGACGGGTTTAAGTTGTTTGCAAATGTATCACAAATATTGAGTTATTTGCTCGGCCCGTAGGTAGAGGGTTTTAAGGCATTTTAACACAATATTAAGCAGTTTTAGTCTCAAAAAAATTATCGGGATTGGCCCTTTAACATTTAATCACTTATATTTAGCTGTGTTTTGTTTTTTAATTAGTACTGTGTCAACATGTCTCATCTTGATCCGATTTCAATCAAAGTTAACATGTTTATATTACACAATCTTAGAATTAGACATGTATCGAACCTTAACCTTCTGGATTATTGTTCCTGATTGTACGAAAAATATATGTTTAGATCTCCAAAGATCTGGAATTGGTTTAAAATTTGGCATGTAACAGAATGTAACTTCCTGGATTATTGCCCCTGATTTGACAAAAAATCAAGTTTTTAGCTTATAGACCCCATATCGGTCACAATTTTTATTTAATTTTAAATGCCATTCAAATATTTGTTCATTTTGGAGATGAATACCTCCCTCGTATTTACAATATATTGGACTGATTTTATTCAGTTGAGGCCGTAATGAAAAATTTAAGCAGAATCAAGACTAGTAATTGCTCTCCCTCTTCACATGGTCCCATTTATCAACCAGGTTTGGTGACTATTCATGATCAGCCTACTAGAATGACGTCACTGTCAATAGATTTCTTTCACAAGGTCTAGCAAATAAATCAAAATTGTCCCCACAGCCCCTTTTCCATATTTTTATCAGATGATTGTCATATGTTCGGCTCTTTGTGTGTTATAAAGATTACGATGTCAGGGTGTTCAAACGAATGTTACACAGGGTAGATAAAGATGGGCGATTTGTCCAGTTATACCAATTTTTAGTGAGTAGTTTCGATCGTATTGAACTCTTTAGCGACTTATGACCCAAAAATACGGTAATTTTGGAGGAATTTGAAACAGTACAGATTGGCAGTAGTCGGCACGCTTTCATTCTATCGTATTACGAATTTTGTAGGAATATTACTGACATAAATTTGAAGACCGTACAGGAATGAAATATGAAAAATAACAAGGTGCACCTATTTTTTTTTATTACGGACGAATTTGAATATTTTGTTTACACATGATTACTGGTCTAAGGCCTAATCAGCAAAATGAAATGAAATGAAATGGGGTTTAACGTTCTTCTGTTCTGCTCCGACTGGCGTGGTTTCGAATCCCCGGTTGTACGTGGTAAGGAGTAGGGTCGCCTGTCAACCTCTCTGGTTTTCTACGGGTCCTCCGGTTTCCTCCCACTGCTAAAGACCCCTACACGCAAGCTAATTATTGAAATAAAATTAAACCATATGTTAGTCCCGAAATGACCTAGTTTGTGTCGAGTGGACATTAAACCCCATTTCTCTCTGTCTCTCTATATAAATCATTAATTAGATATTTATTCACATGTCAAGTCCATAATAACTCTCTAGACTATCAGGGCATTTTAATTTTTAAACACGATTGTCGGTTAATGGAGACTTTGTTTATTAACGTAACAACATTAACAATGACAATGGAGAAAACACTGTTCTTCAAACAACAAAATGAAATGAAATGGGGTTTAACATCCTACTATTCTGCTCCTATACTGGGCTAATGAAGACGGGCATACTCCATACAGTGTATCTCAACATTTCTGGGTCACGGTAGCTAAGTGGGTAAAACGCTAGCTCGCTAGCCTGGAGAACAGGTGTTTGATCCCTGTATTGACCGAGAAAGTCCATCCAGATTTTCTGGCATGATTCCTAGTATCAGTGATGCAGGATGGAGGAACGGACATGGACAGCTGTCTAGTTGTTCGCCATACAGTGTGCTGTGAGTGAAATTTCTTATGGACGGGGACCCTATGGCCCACTCTTATATCTAATTCCAACTGTCAAGTGATTCATTATATGCACGCCAATGTGTACGTAGGAACTCATTCTTTTGTCCCATCCAAACGACTATATATTGTCTATTGCCAGGCCCTCCATTACTGGCATGGGGGATCACGTGGCTAAGTGGGTAAGACGCTGGCTCGCTAGCCTGGAAGTCGGGTGTTCGATCCCCTCATTGGCCGAAAAAGTTCATCCCAATTTTCCGGCGTGGTTTCCCCTTGTCAGTGATGCAGGACGGAGGGCCTGACAAGGCCAGCTGTCTAGTCATTCGGATGGGACGTGTACATATTGGCATGCACGTAAAAGATCCCCCCTTGGCAGTTGGAATTCGATATAAGAGTAGGTTGTAGCGCCGATGCCCAGGCAAAATTTCCCTCATAGCACACTGTATGTTGTATGCCCGTCTTCATTAGCCCAGGTCAGGAGCAAACCAGTAGGACGTTAAACCCCATTTCATTTCATTTCTATTTGATTGACGTCATCTGAATGAGACGTGAATGAGATATATAAATTACGAGTTATTCGTGTTGGGTAGATCCATGGCGTATTTCAATATGCAACTATCCACAAATTTATTCCGGAAATGAACATGGGATAGCGAATAAAGGCGTTTAATTGTTTTCTTTATTTGATGTCAATTTATTCAATATACCTCTATACATCAATATACTAGGTCCCCTTGAAGATGAAGACTGATGTGTACCAATTGCATGACTTTGCTGTGATACGTTATATCAACTTGTATCGTATCTGCAGAGTTCAGATGTAGGCCAAATCATCAACAAATATGGTGAGTTGATTTTTATCATCATCTATGAGCGATAGATTTACCCAAAACAACCAACACATTATTATAACTTTTATATATTGCAGGAAACTAATGATTTTATAACTTTTATATCTATATATATATTTGTGACTGTCGTTTGTCTGTCTGTCTGTCTGTCTGTCTGTCTGTTCGGGGTTGGCGGCTACACTAGGCCTGCCCCGAGTATGAAATTTGGGGTATAGGGGTAGCTTGGACCGGGGAGTAACATAGGCCAGGTGGCGTTAGTCTACCACTTCCGGTTTCGGAGTTATGACCCCCCCCCCCCCCCCCCGAGCGAAGCCGGGTATCTGTCTGTCTGTTCGGGGTTGGCGGCTACACTAGGTCTGCCCCGGGTCTGAAATTTGGGGTATAGGGGTAGCTCGGACCGGGGAGTAACATAGGCCATGTGGCGTTAGTCTACCACTTCCGGTTTCGGAGTTATTACCCCCGAGCGAAGCCGGGTATCCTGTTAGTATTACATAAAAGTAATGATGTTATAACTTTTATATATTACAGGAAACTAATGATGTTATAACTTTTATATATTACAGGAAACTAATAATGTTATAACTTTTCATCAGTGTACAGTGTGTGATGAGATTTTTCAACAATATGAAGATTTAGTAAAACACAATAAAATACATGTTAAAGATGAAAAAACTGATGATGTAGATGAATATTGTCAAGTTAAGTTTATTAAAAAAGAGAAAACTGATGATGTAGATGAATATTGTCATGTTAAAGAAGAGAAAACTGATGATGTAGATGAATATTATCATGTTAAAGAAGAGAAAATTGATGATGTAGATGAATATTGTCATGTTAAAGAAGAGAAAACTGATGATATTGAAACCATTTATCAATGTAATTTGTGTGATGAAGAATTTAAATTAGAATCTGATTTAGAAAAACACTGTGAAAAACATGTTAAAGAAGAAGAGTCTGTTTTACAAAATCAAAAAGATTCTAACAAATGTCACTCAGTAGAAAAATCTTATATATGTGATGTCTGTAGTAAATCATTCACTCAAGGTGGTAGTCTACAGAGACACCTGAGAATTCACACGGGCGTAAAACCTTATAAATGTGATGTTTGTAATAAATTATTTGGAGAAAAGGGTAAACTTAAACAACACATGAGAATTCATACGGGTGAAAAACCTTATAAATGCGATGTTTGTTATGAATCATTTGGACGAACAGGTCAACTTCAGCTGCACATGAGAATTCATACGGGTGAAAAACCTTATATATGTGACGTTTGTAGTAAATCCTTTCGACGCACATGTCGACTGCGACTTCACATGAGAATTCATACTGGCGAAAAACCTTATCAGTGTGATGTTTGTAGTAAATCATTTACCAAGAGCAGTGATCTACAAAGACACAAGAGAATTCATACCGGTGAAAAACCCTATAATTGTGATGTTTGTAGTAAATCATTTGGACAAGCGGGACAGCTTCGGCAGCACATGAGAATTCATACCGGTGAAAAGCCATATGAATGTGATGTTTGTAGTGCTTCATTCACCAGGAGTAGCTATCTACAAATTCACAAAAGAACTCACACAAGATAAAAACCTTTTAAATGTGTTGTATGTGAAATGAAATGAAATGAAATGGAGTTTAACGTCCTACTGTTCTGCTCCTAACCTGGGCTAAGTGAAGACGGGCATACGCCATACAGTGTGCTATGAGGGAAATTTTGCCCAGACAGCGGCACTACGGCCTACTCTTATATCGAATTCCAACTGCCAAGGGATCTTTTACGTGCACGCCAATGTGTGCGCGGGGCCTCGGTTTTTCGTCCCATCCGAACGACTAGGCAGCTGTCCTTGTCAGGCCCTCCTTTCTGCATCACTGACAAGGGGAAACCACGCCGGAAAATCGAGATGAACTTTCTCGGCCAATGCAGCTTCGACTGCACATGAGAATTCATACTTGGGAAAAACCTTATGGGTGTAATGTTTGTGGTAAATCATTTGCTGGCCGTACTCCTCTAAAGAAACACTTGAGAACTCATTCTACTGTAGAAAAAGAGAGAGAGAGAAATGGGGTTTAACGTCCACTCGATACAAACTAGGTCATTTCGGGACTAACATATGGTTTAATTTTATTTCAGTAATTCGCTTGCGCTTAGGGGTCTTTTGCAGTGGGAGGAAACGGGAGGACCCAGAGAAAACCCACGATGTTGGAGAGGTGACCCTACTCCTCGTCACGAACAACCAGGGAATCGAAACCCCGCCAATTGACTAAATGACAGACCGTAGGATATAGCATGCACGTGTTAACCATTCGGCCATCCACCCATACTGTAGAAAAATGTGATGTTTATAATAGCTCATGTACAAAGGCACATGAGAACTCATATTGATGGAAAATGTTTTCTGTGGATTAAATTTCTAGCTTTTACTGTGTTCAACTACATTTTCATGCTAGGGAATCTCTAGCGATTTGCTGTGTTGTCATGCTAGAGAATCCCTAATGATTTACTGTGTTGTCATGATAGGAATCCCTATCAATTCACTATGTTCTGCTGTTTTGTCATGCTAGAAATCCCTATCGATTTACTGTGTTCTGTTGTACTGTCATGCCAAGGAATCCCTTGTGATTTACTGTGTTCTGCTGTGTTGTCATGCTCGGGAATCCATAGCTATTCATCCTGTTTTTCATGCTAGGAAATTTGTCAAAAGCCTTTGTCTGTTTGCATGATATTTGAGAGGTATTAGCGTTTGCTTTTATTCAAACCAAATTAGGGTGATCAATAGTCTTTAAAGGTACTCATGTCCCTGACTATAGATATATTTATGAATAGTCCCAAGACGGACAAAAAGTATTTTCAAATGTTAAAATGTTATTAAACCAGTGTTGAAATCAGTTTGTATCGGCATACCTTTTATCTTTTCATCGTTAGTGCAGCTTTACGGTTGTGCTAATATATATATATATATAAATAAAGGTTAAAAATGCTTAAGAAAAAGTACATGTACTATTGTTTAATTGTCTACATGTTTTGCCTGAGCTTGTCAAGACATACAATAGTTCTTTCTTTAGGCATTTTTAACATTTATTTTTTCTATATTAACACTACTACGGTTTAACTTCATACATCTATTGATATATATACATAGAGAGATGGATGGATGGGGTTAACCTCCATTTGACACAAACTAGGTCATTTAGGGACTAAAATATGGTTCAATTTTATTTGAGGTTTAATGTCCAGCAAACCCATGAGGCTGGACAGGCGATCCTACCCCTCATCACCTATGGCGGGGAATCAAAACCATACGCTAGACTCAATGACAAGCTGTGAACATGTGATATAAAAAAACTCGACCATCCACAAATATGTTCTCTCTCTCTTTTGTATCCATATATATTATACTTTTCATATACACGTGTATGTATCTATATTTGTTTGACTGTATGTTTTGTGAATAAATTTTTTTTTAAAAAAGTAATTAATTAATTATTGTGTAGATCCCATTGGATATAATTAAGTATTTGGCTATAATTAGATTTAGCTGCTGTTATGGGCAAGTTGTAGATTAGCGTATTTGGTGGTGGATGAGTCACATCATAGCACAAGTGTAGGTAAGATGCAGTCCTAATTTAGCAGAGATGTTCCCGGTTGCATAGTTTGATCTCCCATCTACAGCTCCATATGAAACGTGCCACACCGTACGTGTCCCAAATCATCCTTGTACAGCACCATGTGGCATACAACATGTGAAACATGTGCAATTCCATACATGTCCCAAATCTACCGTAGAGTTCGAGCAACTTGGTCAACCTCTAACATTATAATTATTTATTCAAATTCGAGATTATCAGATGGTGGAGATTTAAACAAATTAAAACATGGTCACCATGTAATGATTTGATATAAATAAATATAAATACCTCCACAAAAAGGGGCTGCAAGAAGAAAACTCAAACTGGGTGCCAATCAGGAGGCATGGCAGCCAGTTGGATAGTGGAGAGGTTTCAGGAGGCATGACAATCAGTTGGGTAGTAGAGGGGTTTCAAGCAATTGATCGTAAAATCCTTTGAGACATGTTTTTCTAATGGATGGATGGGGTTTAACATCCATTTGACTTAAACTAGGTCATTTTGGGACTAATCTACAATAAAACATTCCATGAATATACATGTATGGCATTGGGCCAAGAGTATATGGGGAAAGAGAGAGAGAGAGAGAGAAATGGTGTTTGTGTCAAGTGGCCATTCAACTCCATCTCCCGCTCTCTCTATATATTGATAGATAAAACTGGATAACAAAGATAGCGGTAGTCCCGCCCATTAACGCTTCTGTTCTTATGGTCTGTAAAATAGACGAAAACATATTGATGTAACAATGGTTCTATTCTTAAGTTCTGTAAAATAGTTCAAAACAGACAAAAAGACGAATATATATATTGTGTTCTGTGAAATATGGGAGCAGTCTTATTGAACGGTAGTCATTTATCCGGCTTTATCCATACTATAGTCCTTCAGATGGTACAAAAAAAAAACAAGGTTCAGTGTACACATTTAAATTTATAGAGAGAGAGAGAGAAATGGGGTTTAACGTCCACTCGACACAAACTAGGCCTTTTCGGGAATAACACATGGTTCAATTTTATTTCAATAATTCGCTTGCGCGTAGGGGTCTTTAGCAGTGGAAGGAAACCGGAGGACCCGGAGAAAACCCACGAGGTTGGACAGGCGACCCTACTTTAAATTTATATAAAAGATCTATTGGCAGATGGAATTCAATATAAGAGTAGAACACTATGTGACATATGCTCATTAGCCTAGTCGGAGCAGAACAGTAGGACGTTAAAACCCCAATTCAATCGTCTCTAAAAACACAATAAAATATCACACCAGAAAACAAAACAATTTCATTTATTTTCTTCTAACTTTAAATACGCATAACTATGCTAGGGGGGATGGATGGCCGAATGGTTAGCATGTGCGCACTGTATCATGAGGCCTGTCATTAAGTTAACTGGCGTGGTTTCGAATCCCCGGCCATCTTCATTAGCCCAGTTCGGAGCAAAACAGAAGGACGTTAAACCCCATTTCATTTCTTCGAATCCCCGGTTGTACGTGACAAGGAGTAGGGTTGCCTGTCCAACCTCGTGGGTTTTCTCCGGGTCCTCGGTTTCCTCCCACTGCTAAAGACCCCTACGCGCAAGCGAATTATTGAAATAAAATTAAACCATATGTTACTCCTGAAATGACCTAGTTTGTGTCGAGTGGACGTTAAACCCCATTTCTCTCTCTCTCTCTCATAACTATGCTCAGAACAATTTGAAATTTATAAGTAAAGGTTACCACATAAATCACATTTAAAACTTTTTCTTTGGTTTGTGATTAGAGCAGAATACAAGGTATATGATCTACCACAAACATTGCATTTAAAAGGTTTATTTCTCCTGTATAAATTTCAATGCAACTTTACAGACCACAAATCTGATTAACAAGAGAGAGAAATGGGATTTAATGTCCAATCGACACAAACTGGGTCATTTCAGGACTAACGCATGGTTCAATTTTATTTCAATAATTCTCTTGCGCGTATGTGCTTTTAGCAGTGGGAGGACCCAGAGAAAACCCACGAGGTTGGACAGGCGACCTTTCTCCTGATTACCTACAATCGAGGAATAGAAACCACGCCAGTTGACTCAATGACAGACCTTGGGGAATTTCAATAATTCGCTTGTGCGTAGGTGTTTTTAGCAATGGGAGGACCCAGAGAAAACCCACGAGTTTGGACAGGCGATGTACAACTGAGGAATGAAAACCACACCAGTTGACTCAATGACAGATCTTATGATACAGCGTGCATGATCTAACCATTCGCCCCCCACCCCCACCCCATTTAACAGATGCATCAATAATCACAATTATACATTTAGGTATGATTTTTTATTTTTGTGGTTGCGTAGCAGAATTCAAGGTAAACAATTTATCACAAATGTTTTTCATCAGATATGTGTTCTTGCATGATTTCGTACTTCATATCGTCTAGAAAACGATTGACTACAAACATCCTATTTAAAATGTTTTTCTCAGGTATGTGTTATTGCATGATTTCGTACTTCATATCGTCTAGAAAACGATTGACTACAAACATCCTATTTAAAATGTTTTTCTCAGGTATGTGTTCTTGCATGATTTCGTACTTCATATCGTCTAGAAAACGATTGACTACAAACATCACACTTGAAAGGTCTTTCTCGGGTATGTGTCCTTGTATGTCTGTGTAGACCATCAATTCTAGAAAACGATTTACTACAAAAATCACACTTATAAGGTTTTTCGCCAGTATGATTTCTGATGTGAATCTGAAGATTTCTAATCTGAACGAAGGCTTTAGCACAGACATCACACTTATAAGGTTTATCCCCAGAATGATTTCTCATGTGTGTGGTAAAACAGCTGATGTATGTAAATGATTTATCACAAATATCACATCTATAAGGTTTTTCACCGGTATGAATTCTCATGTGTATCTTAACATAGTTCTTGTCATTGAACGATTTTCCACAAACATCACATGTAATGAGTTTCTCTTTAGTATGGCTTTTCATGTGCTTTTGTAGGTAATTAGTGTCTGAAAATGATTTACTACAAACATCACACTTATAAGGTTTCTCGCCGGTATGAATCCTGATGTGCCTCCGTCGAGAACTATTCTCTGTAAATGATTTACCACAAACATCACATATATAAGGCTTTTCACCCGTATGAATTCTTGTGTGACTCTGTAGATGACTGCTTTTGATGAATGATTTACTACAAACATCACATTTATAAGGTTTGTTTGTAGTATGGGTTCTCATGTGTTGCTGCCGCCCACCACGATCTCGGAATGATTTACTACAAACATCACATTTATAAGGCCTTTCTGCAGTATGAATCCCCTTATGCTTCTGTAAGTAACTATTATCTGTGAATGATTTACTACAAACATCACATTTATAAGGCCTTTCTGCAGTATGAATCCAGGCGTGCCTGTGTAGATTGTACTTGGTTGTGAATGATTTACTACAAACATCACATTTATAAAGTATTTCAGGTGTCTTTATGTCTGTTTGTTTCTGAGAATGTGTCTCATTATTTTGTGTAACATGTTCCATGTTCTCATCTTTAACATGTATTTCACAGTGTTTTTCTAAACCAGTGTCAGATTTAAATTCTTCATCACATAAATTACACTGATAAACAGTTTCAATATCATCAGTTTTCTCTTCTTTAACATGACAATATCCATCTACATCATCAGTTTTCTCTTCTTTAACATGACAATATTCATCTACATCTTTAGTTTTATCTTCTTTAACATGACAATATTCATCTATCTCATCAGTTTTCTCTTCTTTAACATGAAAATAGTCTTCTAAATCATCAGTTTTCTCTTCTTTAATATGTACTTTTGTGTGTTTTTCTAAATCATCATGTTGTTGAAAAATCTCATCACAAACAACACATTGATGAAAGGTTTTAACATCATCAGTTTCCTGTAATATATAAAAGTTATATCATCATTAGTTTCCTGTAATATATAACAGTTATAACATCATTAGTTTCCTGTAATATATAAAAGTTATATCATCATTAGTTTCCTGTAATATATAAAATTTATAACATCATTAGTTTCCTGTAATATATAAAAGTTCTTACATCATCAGCATCCTGTAATATATAAAAGTTATAACATCATCAGCATCCTGTAATATATAAACGTTAATTGAAATTATATTATTTCAATAACTGTTCCATGGTTTGGCAGGACACAATCAGAGATGCCAGGTTTGTGCTCTATTTCATTTCATAGTTAAACTATTAAATACAAGTTTAAGGTTAATCATGTTTGAATTTTGACAACAATTATTCTGATTTCACCAGCAACTCGAAAGTACATAGGTTTTCCCCCAAATTCAATTTTGTCCGAGGGTTTTAGATCAAATTTTTCATCAACAATGGTCTTGACATTATTGTGTCATGTATTTTAAAATCAGTAAGATTAACAGGTAAGACTAACAGAGAAATAAAAGGCAAAACATCTGTATACCTTCTCTCAAGAGCTGGATATATTTTCACGTTCAAACAATCTTCCGCGTAGCAAATTACCCATTTTTGGGGCATATTTGAGACGAGAGACAGAGATATGGGGTTTAACGTCCACTCAACACAAACTAGGTCATTTCAGGACTAACTTATGATTTAATTTTAATTCAATAATTCGCTTGCGCGTAGGGGTCTTTAGCAGTGGGAGGAAACTGGAGGACCCGGAGAAAACCCACGAGGTGGGACAGGCGACCCTACTCCTTGTCACGAACAACAGAGGATTCAAAACCAGGTCAGTTGACTCAATGACAGGCCTTATGAGAACAAAGCTAAAAACTCTGATATATACTGAAGTGCTTGTTTTTAGCTACGATTGGATGCCTTTAGTTTCACCTGGCAAACTCGATTTCTTTATTAATGCATGTAACATCATAAAAATAAGTTAATTTTATACTATTAGGGCTAGTTAAACATATGTGACCCAATGTACAGTACGTCCATCGTCAATCAGTACCATGATTTCTATTGTCTAATTTGTGAATATCAAATGAATATTTTTATGGTAAGTACGAGCTTATGTCTGACTTGAAAACACTTTCGATTGCTGTTTCAAGTTCTAGTTATCTCCTAGATGTATTTCTTTTTGTAAGACTAAAAAACAAAATAGCTTTATAAACCCCGTTTAGATTACAAATTTTAAGCGTACCAGGCACGGTATCATGCAGGTGCGGCACACTTCGCTTTTTTGTAGTGTAAACGGGTCAAACGTAAGCGTGCCGCGCCTGGTTCGGTGCCAATCTGGCCCACTGAAGTAAGGTGGTCTCGGAATGGTACCAGGACCGGCTTGCTTTAAATTTTCGTAGTGTAAACGCTAACCGGTCTGAGCTTGGATTACTGCGCAAGTGCCAAATGAACCTTGACCTTTTTTCCCGCAAACTTTGACAGCTCTGTCATCAGTTCTACATTGTATCAAAATGGCTGCTCAAACAAAATCAACCATCATGATTGTTTTCATCTGGGTAATTTGTATAGGGACTGAAATTAACTTTTCTGTGAAATGAAATGAAATGGTGTTTAACGTCCTACTATTCTGCTCCTATACTGGGCTAATGAAGACGGGCATACGCCACACAGTGTGCTATGAGGGAAATTTTGCCAGAGCAGCAGCACTATCGCCTACTCTTATATCGAATTCCAACTGCCAAGGGATCTTTTACGTGCATTCCAATGTATACACGGGACCTCGGTTTTTTGTCTCATCCGAAGGACTAGACAGGCGTCCTTGTCAGGCCCTCCGTCCTGCACCACTGACAAGGGGGGACCACGCCGGAAAATCTGGATGAACTTTCTCGGCCAATGCAGGGATCGAACACCCGACCTCAAGGCTAGCGAGCCAGCGTCTTACCCACTTAGTCACGTGATCCCCTCTCTTCTGTGAAGAGTTCCACATTTAGCATGCTTGGCATGGTTCTGAGACGGGTTATTTTAGAGTAATGTAAACGGGTCAATTTCTTGAAATTTATCGCAGCTTGGTACTGTGCCCAGAACAGCACGCTTATTGCGGCCAAATGCAAACGGGGCTATAGTTTACCATTTAAAAGTCTATCTTGTGCCGTAATTCAAGAGCAATTCTTAACCATACATATACAAAATATTTTGAACACAGAGTCAGAAACGTCACTCGACATCATCTACCATATTTTTGGGAGTCAGAAATGTTGTAAGTCAGAAATGATGCGGGACCGAAATGACATGTAATTGTTTTCATGCATCACATGTTACTGTTATTTTAGCCTTTAAGTGTTGTAACTAACAAATATTCCATTCTACTATGTAGGATAATTCTTAAATGGGGCATATTTCTGGCCATGTTCGATTTTTGAGGATATAACAATTTTGCCATGCTTAAATTTTTTTATTTTTTTTCATTATTAGACTTCATGCGGATCATTTCTTTTCTAGTCGTACTAAGTCGATTTTTAACCGGACGATTGTTTTTTGATGACACTTTGACGATTGCTGCAAATACTTATTTTTTACTAATTAAAGCAGTCAAGGTCGCATTGGCAGATGTCTGAGTCTCTCTATTTATGAAATTGATTCCACTAGTATCTGCCGATGGAATCTCATCCACTATGCCGGGGAAAATGGGGTGTCAAGAAAATCGTGGTATGATTTTATAGATTTTTTGGACTTAGCCTTACTTTTACCTAGCTTCCTAGTTTTTGTCTCCAGTCTGACCATTTTATTTTGAATGTCTTTGTGACCAAACTTCACACACACACAATCGCCATGTAAAGCAGTTATGATAGACCGATGCTCCGTAGTTGTCAGGAATTTATTCACAATGCCTAGTATAAGCCTATTTGTGATTTTTGCCATGGGTAGTTTGGTTACAGTGCTCAAATCATAGGGGTACTTGTCAAATCCAATGCTGGATAGCAAATCATCGTTGGACGCCATCTTGCAGGGCTCAGTCTAGATAACAAACTTCATCTCTTAACCCTCTCTTGAAATCTGTTTGGCCATTGGCTGAATTTAAAATTCAAAAATTCAGTGTATAACAACTTAATATGTTAGTATTAACAAGAAACTGAAGAGAATGGTGGTGTTTTTTCACAGATTTGATTAAAGATAGAAAGATAAGTATACTTTATTACTTTCTTAACAATAATATTAAATTACTTTAGATAAGATTTATGTGATTTTGTTATTTAACTTTATTACCTATTTTTTTCCCTATATTTCAGTTTTACCAAGAAAAGAATTTTTCATGGTTCCGGCTGGTGAATCATCAACAGAATTCAGATTAATTAGCGTTGCCAAAGGGTTTTTAAATACACAAAATGTCTCTAATATGATTATTGCACTGCAAGCGTCAACTATTTAGATTCAATAATCTGAAAGAATTTTGAAAAAATATTGAAAATTAAAAAAGTTATGGCATTTTGAAGACCGCGAATTGGAGGCACCAAAATACGTTTTTTTTTTAAAATGTAAAAAACCTGACCGAAGCTAATATCTCAGACACTATAATAGGTAGATCCACGAAACTTGCCGAATTTGAAGTTCAAGATGTACTGGATTGAATCAAATTATCGGGAGACTCTTCGGTTATATAGTGTGTATGCTACAGACTCTCAAACTTACGACCGAGACAATTTTCGTTCAAGGTCACAGCAAAAAAATGACGTGATAGTTAATAACAAACCATGTAGAAGTCCCAGGGCTTTGAAATATTTACCCAACCCGTTTTTTGATGTGATAGATACACAAATAATGTTTTCACATTGTTATCGTGTTTTTTTATTAGGCATCAGCTACTCGAATTGCATTTTTTGACTATACCATGTCAAGGTCATACAGAAAGTGTAAGGTCACGGGTCAACTGTGGGTCTAGAGAGAGAGAGAGAAATGGGGTTTAACGTCCACTCGACACAAACTAGGTCATTTCGGGACTAACATATGGTTTAATTTTATTTCAATAATTCGCTTGCGCGTAGGGGTCTTTAGCAGTGGGAGGAAACCGGAGGACCCGGAGAAAACCCACGAGGTTGGACAGGCGACCCTACTCCTTGTCACGTACAACCGGGGATTCGAAACCACGCCAGTCGACTCAATGACAGACTTTATGATACAGCGCGCGCACGCTAACCATTCAGCCATCCAACCCCCCTGTAGGTCTAGAGGCTATTAAAATACTCACAGTCTTTTCCTGGATACATACACATGCAAAACACACAGACAGCGTTCATTTTTTACCTGACAAAAATAGTTGTTTCAGGAATGGAAAATCACAAGTATTATGATCAATAAAAATATCTTTATTTCAATTAACAAAATCAATAAAACTTAAAATCAACAAAAATAAATAAATAACAGAATTTTTCTGGGTGAAAACTTATGACCTAAATCTAAAAATAACGGAAAACAAAACTGTGTATCATGATCAACATCAATCATATGAAAACTACCAACTACAAAACCAAAAATATAAAACTTAAAAAAATTAACAATATATGATATAATCACAGGGATTACACATGACAAAATAATTTCTTTTTTGGCATGACTGGACGTCATCAAAGTCATATGCAAATACAAAAAGTTACATGTATAAGTAATCGAATGTTATGACATTATTAAAGAAAGAATCACCCCTTCTCTATAAATAACAAATATCTCTGGTTATAAAATTTAAAAAAAAAAAGATGTACAACAATGAGTAAAAAATTGCATACAGTGATAAAAAATATCAATGCTAAAGGCACATGGCTAATAAATAGATATATTCTTAAATAGATATATTCTTAACAAACCTAATAAAACTTTTTGGCATACATGGCTGGACGTCATCGAAGTCATATACAAAAAAATATACATAATTGTATGTAATGATACATTATTAAACAAATATCTATGGTTATAAATTATTAAGAAAAAATAAATCCACAATATGCTAGCTTGCAACAATGAGTAACAATATTTTTTTTAATATCCCATAAACAGATAAATATATCAATGCTAAAGCATACATTGTAAAAAAAATAGCAGAAAACAAAACTGTATCATGATCAACATCAATCATATGAAAACTACTAAACAAAACTAAAACTTTAAGAAATTAACAATATATGATATAATCACAGGGATCACACATGACAAAATAATTTACCAACTACAAAACAAAACTTTAAAAAATCACAGGGATTACACATGACAAAATAATTTTTAAACTTTGGTCATCAGAATCTGTATTCTCAGAACTAAAGCGTGGAGTGAAAAGTGGCATGAATCTTGGAGCTTGTGTCTGTGCCTGGAAAATAAAATTGATTTGGTACAGAGCAATATAATCCCTGGCCTCTTCCGATTATGTTTTTTAAAGTTATAATAAAAGAGTGCTGCATCAAATAAACATAGTATAATAATTGTCCTAAAGTACAGATTGAAATTCCTTACTTGAGATTCACTTTCTCCAATTTCCTTTTCACTCTCCTCAGAATCTGTTATGAATAATGGTTGTGAATACTCTTCTTCCATAGTAAATATAAGCTTTAAAATAAATGAGAAACACATTTTCATTTTGCCTATGCCAAGTCAGTCTTATTTCAATATTTGGGGATATATTTTTCTCAAAAGTCCATTTTTTTTTACAAGTAATGTTATTAAATTTGCAAAAACATCTAAATAGTTCACACTTAAGTTTGCAAAAGTTGGGTTAAAAAAAAATAAATCATTCATTGTGGTCTGATCCCATACACGCACCTACCAAGAGTTGTCTTTCCCTGATTCTTCCCCGGTTCTACTTTCCGTCTTATTGCCAATTCCTACGGGGGATTTTGGCAAAACAAAAGCTCAAACTATACAAAATATATACCAGGCTATCCAAAAATGTCGATATCTCGAGCGGAATGCTCTTTTTTTCAAAGTTTCTATTACATTTAAAAATTAAAAACAAGAAAAATAAGCGAAAATTCGATCAAAATCTTACCTGCTATGGCAGTCCGCTAACTTCAGCTCACCAGGTTCCGGAAAAGTGCCACGTGACCACGTTTTGACTTCCTGAATATTCATAAGACCCCGTAGTAGAAACGGTACATTTTTCGGTCAGGTTTTTTAGCACACCAATAATAGGACAGCCAGCGCCTCTAGCGGCGTTTGGCATCGCTAGATTAATCCATGAGAGAAAAAATAAGCTTATCAATTTAGAAGAATCCATGAGAGAATAATAAGCTTATCAATTTAGAAGAAATCATGGACCAACTATAGTTTTATTCCCAAAATAAGATTTAATAAAATAAAAAGTTTATAGAATTCTATAGTACCCATTCCTACAGAAAACTATAGTGGTCCAATTTCCAAACTACAGAATACTATAGTATTCATTCCTATACATAACTATAGAATTTCCTACAGAAAGTGCAAAAAAAAAACCCTATAGAATACTATAGTATTTTCCTATAGAACTTTTGTCATAAATCTGTAGGAAAAACTATAGGATGTGCGCTACAGAAACTGTAGAATATTTGGGGCCGTTATTTCCTACAGGCCCCCAAAATTCTATGAATACTATAGAATTTTATCCTATAGAAAATGGGACACACCCCCCAAAAAAACTATAACGGCCTAGCAAATATTTACTGCTGATCAGTGTGCTCTATGTCGAGACTCACCATCATTCTGTGGAGTTTTGCTACATTTAACCAACAAAATGTTCAGGTATACTGTTCTGCTACAGTTAACCAAGTAAATGGTCAATCCACCGTTGTTACAGCTTCAATTTGTACGTTTGACATGTAATTTATAAACCTAACCCGAACCCTAACCCTAGAGAAGATATTCTCCAGATGACACAAAGATCTAGTATTATTCACGAAGAGGAAGAATTGTTTTGTTTTATTTCAGACGTTCATTTCCGGTAGAAAACGGATACGGAAAAGAAATGTGCGGATCCGGTTGTATATTGAATAGAGTACTGGATCTAATCAATCCAAGCAACTGATAAACAACACAGGTCAGTGCATGATACACGTGCTTCATGACTTTAAAAGCCCACAGTTAATTTTACCTGTGCCTTATTTAGGAAATGAAATGCTCCGAACTGGGCTACTGAAGACGGGGCCTTATTTAGGAGACTGTCACTCACTGTTTCAAAATTTATACTGTCTTTGTTCATTTAACCAGGCTAGATCTATTTCACAAGGCCATCTGCAGATTTTCTCAAGGTCAGAAGATCTACAGGTGCCCTTGATAAATAGATCTTGCTTTTAACCACATCGTCTAATTGTTCTTTTGGACCTTAGGAGTCATGATTGGTGACTTAATGGGCAAGACGCTGGCCCGCTAGAATGGAGGTCACGTGTTCGATACCTGCATTGGCCTAGAAAGTTTCTAACGTGGTTTCCACTTGTCAGTGGTGTAGGATGGAGGGCCCAACAAGGGGGAAAGGCTCATTAGTCCGCAGGGTTCATTAGTCCACCGTCGACCACCGATAACTATTATTAGGGGTTAGGGTTCAGATTAGGTGTTTTGATACCCATAGTGAACCCCTCTCCGACATGGACAACTGTGTAGTCATTTGGATGGGATGAATAACCAGGACCCGTGTATACATTTTCGTGCATTTTCGGGCAAAATTTCCCTCATTGTTTTGTTGGTAATCCTGTCTGTTAACCGTAATCCTGTGCCTTAACTGTAATGCTGCCCGTTAACTGTAATCCTACTCCTTAACCAAAATCCTGTGCCTTAATCATAATTCCACCCAATAACCATAATCCCACCCCTTTAATATTCTGTTGTTTTGACTGTAATCCTGTCTGTTAACCGTAATCCTGTACCTTAACCGCAATCCCATGCCTTAACCGCAATCCCATGCCTTAACCGTAATCCCACCCAATAACCATAATCTCACCCCTTAACCACAATCCTGTGTCTTAACCGTAATCACATCCCTTAACCATAATCCATCTGTTAACCGTAATCTCACCACTTAACCATAATCTTGCGCCTTAACCATAATACAACCTTAATAATAATCCCGCCCCTTAACCGTAATTTGTCCCTCCTTAACTGCAATCTCACCCCTTAACATACATGGTACATGGCTCTATCCTTATATACCGTAAAATAGTCAATTTTCTTGCTTTATCCATAGTATAGTTCTTCAGATGTTACGATAAACCAAGGTTCAGTGTACACATGTAATAGATCTATTGGCAGATGGAATTCAATATAAGAGTAGACCGTAGTGCCGCTGCAGGGGCAAAATGTGCTCATAGCACACTGTGTAACATATGCTCATTCTCATTAGCCTATTCGGAACAGTAGGAAATGAAATGAAATAAAATGAAATGGGGTTTAACGTCCTACTGTTCTGCTCCAACTGGGCTAATGAAGACGGGCATACGCCATACAGTGTGCTAAGAGGGAAATTTTGCCCGGACAGCAGCACTACAGCCTACTCTTATATTGAATTCCAACTGTCAAGGGATCTTTTACGTGCACGCCAATATGTACACGGGACCTTGGTTTTTCATCCCATCCGAACGACTAGACAGCTGTCCTTGTCAGGCCGGAACAGTAGGACGTTAGACCCCATTTCAATTATCTCTAAAAACGCAATAAAGAGAGAGAGAGAGAAATGGGGTTTAACGTCCACTCGACACAAACTAGATCATTTCGGGACTAACATATTTCAATAATTCGCTTGCGCATAGGGATCTTTAGCAGTGTGAGGAAACCGGAGGACCCGGAGAAAACCCACGAGGTTGGACAGGCGACCCTACTCCTTGTCACGTACAACCGGGGATTCGAAATCACGCCAGTCGACTCAATGACAGGCTTTCTGATACAGCGCGCGCACGCTAACCATTCAGCCATCCAACCCCCCCAAAACACAATAAAATATCACACCAGAAAACAAAACAATTTATTTATATTCTTCAAACATTGTTGTTCTTCTCACTGTACCTTGTCTCAACTTCAAACACTCATAACTTTGTCCAGAATAAAAATAATCTGACTAAAATTTTGAAGTGAAGGTTTTTCTCAAGTCTGTAGTGATGAATTCTTTTATCTGTAGACTAGCATTGAAGGTAAATGATTTATTATAATAATAATAATAATAAATTATTAATTTATATAGCCCAACAATTCAACATCATTAGTTTCCTGTAATATATAAAAGTTATAACATCATTAGTTTCCTGTGATATATAAAAGTTATAACATCATTAGTTTCCTGTAATATATAAAAGTTTTAACATCATTTGTCTCCTGTAATATATAAAAGTTATAACATCATTAGTTTCCTGTAATATACTATTCAAAAAAAGTAGGGGATATTTGATTTTTAAGTGTTATTAAAGTCACCTAATGTAACTGACGAAGAAACAAATGACAAAATGAAATGAAGTTCACATTCATCGATTTATTCCAAATGATCGTTAGACTAAGTAAGGCACAGACTGACCATTATAAGGGTAAAATGATACCCGGGGTCAAACAGCAAACAAGCATTGATCCGACGTGGCATACTCCTAATGAGACGTCTAAGGTCATTTTGGTCCAGATTGTCCCATTCCTGTTGCAACGCAGCAGCAAGTTCTTGGACATTGGCAGGACGTTGTTGACGTTGACGTAACCTCTGTCCAAGCATGTCCCAGACATGCTCGATGGGGGAGAGGTCGGGACTCAGTGCTGGCCAAGTTAATGTGGTGATGTTCTGTTGTTGGGGGTAACCTGTAACGATCCTGGCCCTGTGACATCTTGCGTTGTCATCCTGGAAGATGAAACGACGGCCATGACGTCGTGCGAACGGCACAACATGGACTGCCAAGATGTTGTCCCGGTAGTACTGGCCTGTAACACGCCCTGCAACAACATGTAAAGCCGTTCTTCCAGCAACAGTGATGCCTCCCCACACCATAACAGAACCACCCCCAAATCGATCATGTCTGATGACGTTAACGTCTTGGAAGCGCTCGTTTCGACGACGCCACACCCTCCTACGTCTGTCCAAAAAATCAACAGTGAACCTTGACTCGTCTGAAAACATCACATTGCTCCAGCGTCGATTATCCCAGTGTTGACGATCCCTACACCAACGACGTCTTGCCTGAATGTGATGATCTCTCAAACAAGGGATCACGCGAGGACGTCGGGCGCGAAAGTGACCCCTATGCAGTCGATTCCGAATCGTCTGGCCACTCACTCTCACACCAGTGTCTGTTTGAAGACGAGCGCTGATCTGATTTGCTGTGATGACACGATTTCTCAAGGCCAATTAAGGTACGGATAAATCGATCCTGGGCTTGAGTTGTCGCCCTTGGTCGACCTGAGCGTGGTCTGTCCTGTACAGATTGTGTATCACGGTATCTGGACCATAGCCTGCTTATGACAGACTGAGAAACATTCATCGTCCGCGCCACAACCGCCTGTGTTGTGCCGATCTGTAGCACGCCAAGGGCACGTAACCTTTCATTTTGGGTAAGCCGACGCATATCAAAATTTGTTTTCTGGTCACTAAAACAATTAAACTGATGTTTCCACCCTGGAATTCAATGCCACAATGACTGTAACATTCAAAGTCAGAGTCGTGCAAATCTTGGGTTGAACCCCCATGATGATCCCAAGCATCACCTGCATTCCATGCGGTAGCTATTGGTGCGTTTGGGCGTCACATGTAACTGGAAATGTTTCTTCTGTTAGGTTCTATAGTGACTTTTTTCGTAGTCATTTTCATATTTTAGTATTATGCCCCCAAAATCAAATATCCCCTACTTTTTTTGAATAGTATATTACAGGAAACTCATGATGTTATAACTTTTATATATTACAGGAAACTCATGATGTTATAACTTTTATATGTTACAGGATACTGATGATGTTATAACTTTTATATATTACAGGAAACTAATGATGTTATAACTTTTATATGTTACAGGATACTGATGATGTTATAACTTTTATATATTACAGGAAACTCATGATGTTATAACTTTTATATATTACAGGAGACAAATGATGTTATAACTTTTATATTTTACAGGAAACTAATAATGTTATAACTTTTATATATTACAGGAAACTAATGATGTTATAACTTTTATATATTACAGGAAACTGATGATGTTATAACTTTTATATATTACAGGAAACTAATGATGTTATAACTTTTATATATTACAGGAAACTAATGATGTTATAACTTTTATATATTACAGGAAACTAATGATGTTATAACTTTTATATATTACAGGAAACTGATGATGTTATAACTTTTATATATTACAGGAAACTAATGATGTTATAACTTTTATATATTACAGGAAACTAATGATGTTAAAACTTTTATATATTACAGGAAACTAATAATGTTATAACTTTTATATATTACAGGAAACTAATGATGTTATAACTTTTATATATTACAGGAAACTAATGATGTTATAACTTTTATATATTACAGGAAACTGATGATGTTATAACTTTTATATATTACAGGAAACTAATGATGTTATAACTTTTATATATTACAGGAAACTAATGATGTTAAAACTTTTATATATTACAGGAAACTAATAATGTTATAACTTTTATATATTACAGGAAACTAATGATGTTATAACTTTTATATATTACAGGAAACTAATAATGTTATAACTTTTATATATTACAGGAAACTAATAATTTATTATAATATCACATCTAGAAGGTTTTTCTCCTGTATGATTGTATTTTTTTGTAGAGCAGAATTCAAGGTAAATTATTATCACAAACATCACATTTTAAAGGTGGCTAAGTGGGTAAGGCGCTGGCTCGCTAGCCTGAAGGTCGGATGTTCGATCCCTGCATTGGTCGCGAAAGTTCATCCAGATTTTCCAGCGTGGTTTCCCCTTGTCAGT